AGACAGAGACAGAGACAGAGACAGAGACAGAAATAGGTGTATGATGTAAAGGGCCAAAGCTCTCCCCAAGACATAATTTTATAAATTCTCAATTGGCCGATGAGGCCAGTAGGGATACTTCTTCTTGTCTAATTTAGTTTCTGGGAAGACTTCCTTCAAGTCCTCAATGGTCATCTGATCAAACGGAATCATGCTATTCATTTTCTCCAGCTGTTTCTCATAATCCACAATCCCGGCCTTTGAGAGAGAGACAAACTCAGCACAACTTTTCACATCTTCCTTTTCTTCAGCATCCACCAGGGCAGTATATTTATCCTCTGGCACAGGAATTTTCAGGGTGTTAAACCTTTTCAAAGTCATCCACCAAGCCTGCCTTGGCCACAATGGCCTTGTAGATCACTGGTGGTTTCTCAGACACAGCAGCCAACCTGGTGCTGAGGGTCTCATTCCAGGCCTTCAGAGAGTTAGCAACAGCCTTTTGGTTTCCGGGTATGATCTCCCCAAAAGCTACCCAGTCAATGGCTTTCAGAGCAAGTTTGTGCCTAGCCATCTTGGGATCCTTCACCAACCCCGATTATTTACCTATTTCTTAATGTTGTCTCTTTCTCCATCAGGTTTGTTCCTGATATTCTCAGTTTCCAACCTTTTAACTATTCCAACGTTTTCTTAAAATCAAAATAAAATCTCCTGAGCAAGGCATTTGGAATCCTTGTTTTGGGGAGCTATTTTGAATCCCAGTCCTCTATTTGTGTTCCTCAGTTCTTTTCTACAATAAATTCTTCCATTATTAGAGAAAAAAAAAATCTATTACATGAATCTAATGCATGACAATTCGAAAGCTTTTTGAGTCTTGCTTCAATATTACTAGTAATCAAGAATCCATCACTTCAAGAAACATTTACTTAGTGAAAAGAATTCTTCCTTAAATCACTACTTTCGTATCTCCCTTTTCTCAAAAATTCAGTGTAGCTTTTATAAGGATCCTACTCATAATACCCAGAGAAAACATATTTATAAGTCATAGTAGAGTGGTACACTTTAATTATCACACCCTATCATATTGTGGTACAAAACCCTTTTTGCTTTTCATAAAAAGTTAAATAGTGATACTCTAATTCATGAGATTTCAGTAGTAGTATTTTCAGTTTTTATTTTTGCCAAAATTTCACATACCTGGTCAGCTAACATAAGTACAGTTTTCATTGTGAACCTTCTTGAACAGAAATTGAAGAGGTCTTCAAGGCTAGGTCCCAGAAGATCCATGACTAGCACATTATAGTCTTTTTCCTGGCCATACCACCTAAAAAATAAAAGTGAAAAAGAGAAGGGAAGGTTATTATAAAAACCTAATTAACATTTAATAATCACAATTTTTTCAAACTCTTAAAAATGCTAAGATTAAGACAGTTTTTCTTCTCTGATTAGGTTTTCTTTAAAGTAATTCTCTGTTCAGAAGATGAATTTACCAGTTAACTACATTACTCAATACAAAAAAGGAGTAGTTAAGACTGCTCTCCCTTCAAATGACCCCAATGTCCTAAAAGGACATGCACTGAAAGGACATGCACAGCTGACTTAACTTTTTTTGCCAGAGCAGCTGATTTCCACACCCACCTGCCATTGAGTCCTGTGACCCTAGACAAATTACTTAATCTTACCTAGATCAATCTCTAACTGAAGACCAGAGCACTACAGCAGTCACTCCAAAATGTTTCATATCATACTCCTGGTTCCCCTTCCCACCAAATTATACTTAGTGATTATTCTTCATTCTTTTTTAAAAGTCACATTTTCACAGCAAGTTAACTCAGTTGACACTTGTTTTCTTGACAAGAATCATGTTTTAGTCAGTGCTGCATTACTGTGGATAAATAAATAATTTATCACTAATATCACAAGAACTACTAGTGCTAATTTTATTTAACCCAAGAACTAGGAATCACTTACAGTAAGTGATTTCAAATTTTGCCATTTATGAGTATCTGCTCATATTTCAAACTGGACAAGATACAAAATGTTTTTTAATAAAGTATTTGGAAAGTAGATTTCAAGAATGGGTGAAACTACTCAGCATAATGTTCCATATCAATAACCCCAACTACTAGGGAGGCTGAGGGAGGAGAACAAATTTGAGGCTCGTCTGGGCAATTTAGCCAGATTCTGTCTTAAAATAGAAAGTATAAATGATTGTAAAACTGAAGCTGAACTAATTTCTTCACTAATACCAGTAAGAAATGGAATTGGCACCAATATTTACCACAGTCAAAAGTTTTTTATTGTGGTTTTTTTTTTTTTTTCAGAACCGGGGATTGAACTCGGATCCTTGCGTTTGCCAGTCAAGCACTTATCCTACTGAGCCATCTCCCCAGCCCCCAGTTTGTTTTTATTTATTTCTGTGTATGTATTTTAGGGAAGGATCTAGAGGGTGTTCAGGGTCTAATTACTAGATCAGACTCATAGTGATCTGCCTGTTTAAAGCCTCGGGAGAGCTGGGGTTACAGGTGAGCACCACCATGCCCAGGCTCAATTGCCATTTCAGCGCCCTGGGTAGGGTCGGCCCCCACCAAGGGATGAACCCCAGCCCCTGCACCTGCTTGCAGGAGCTTTAATCCGCTGAGCTATTTGGCCACCCCTGAAACTTTGCTTTTTACCTATTTAAAAAAAGAAAAGGCTTTTGTGAAATCCATGCCAAAAGCACAGCAAGTACCATCACTCTAGGAAACTGTTTAATTCATTATTATTTCTTTTTTGAGATTTTGCTTAACATACTGTTTTATTGATTGAAATTATAAGACTACAAGAATTTGATATTTTAATAATTTTGTTTTTCTAGAAAATGCAGTTACCTAATGTGTAGAATTCTGGTATCTCTTCCTTAAAAATGGTCACCTAGGACTAACAATGTGGCTCAGTGGTAAAGTACCTGGCTCTCATGTATGATGCCTTAGCATTATAAAAACCAAACCAGACCAGACCAAAAGAATCTATTCTAACTCTGGACAATAAATAAATATTTGAGACAGAGTCTAAGTTGCCTAGCCAAGTCTCAAACTTGCCTATAGCTGGGATTACAAATGTGTGTCATTGCAATAGGCCACATCAATCATTCTTGAGACTACCAGACACAAAACACAGGAAACTGCCACTGAACACATAGAACATAAATTGCGTTCATCTTTCCTTTTTATTTTACTTGACTGAAGCCACAAGTCTGTGACAGTTGTCAGTAACATCCATAAATGTACATTTATGTTATGTTTTGAGACAGGGTTTTGCCATGTAGCCCAGACTGGCCTTGAGATCACAATCCTTTTGTTTTAATCTGCTAGGCCCTGGAATTCCAGGTGTGTGCCACTATGCCCAGCCTGAGTCACATATTTTTAAAAATATGTATCTAATTTACCTAGACTCTTAAGAAAATGAGAACAAATTCAGCAAGTGCAAAAAAAAAAAAAGTGTAGGGAAAGCAGAAAAGTCAAACAGGCTAAAGGCACAGCATAAATGAACTGTCAAAAAAACACTCATTTCTATTGAACTTCAAAAATAATTAGGTTATCCTCCTCTACAAAGACTGGTACTTTCATCTCTTTAAACCCAACAGATGTTTCTTTCATGATTCCTTTTGATTTCAAGGGACATATAGCTTACTTTTCTGAAGTTAATATTATATCCTCCATCTGTGTTTCCTACCTGGATTCACTTACATATTGAAAAGATTATTGTATATGGATTAGGAACCAGGGATGCTTTTCAAATCCCAATCTTAATTTCTACTCTTACCTGCTATCTATTTTCCACTCCCACCCTGGAATCTCTACTTCTAGTCTTAACCTCAAAAAACCCTGATACAAAGTAAGTCTTCCTATTGTATAGCTATCCCACACAGGTCTTCATTCCACACAATTCCCCTCATTTGACTACTGCTTGTATCTACATTCTAACCCCTGACAAATATTATGTAGTATTACTTGGTGTTTGTCTCTATTATCTGGTTTTAAAGTCTTTATAGATTTGAGTAATAAATGTTACCCCATTTACAAATAATCTGACCTATACCAACACAAGAAACTTACTCCTCCATTTAATAAGGGCCTTCAAGTTAGACTCACTCTCACCTTCATACATTTTTATGTTAAGTACATGATGTGACACTATTAAGTTTATTGTGAAAATGATATGCATACTGTACTCATTATCTGTAAGATTAATGAAAAAGTTTAAGCTGTATTTATTCTACTTATGTTAATAGTTTTAAAAAATGTTCAAGGGTCTCATTTTCTGTTTTAAATCATTTTTATTTTTTATTTTTTTTTGGCGGAACTGGGGATTGAACTCAGGCCCTTGGGCTTGCCAGGGAGGCACTTATTCCACCGAGCCATCTCCCCCGGCCCTATTTCATTATTTTTAGACTTCAGTATTATTCATAAGTAGGCTCAATAATTATTTTACAACTAAAAAAAACTTTACATACTTTGAATATTAACGGTACCTTAAAGTCCAAATACGCTATAAGAAAGCAAGGTCTATCTCTGCTATTCTTTCTTCTAAACTCAATGTCCAATTAAAACTAGCTTAAAAACTAATACACAGAGGGGGCTGGGGAGATGGCTTAGTGGGATAAGCACTTGCCTGGCAAGCGCAAGGGCCTGAGTTCAATCCCCGGTTCCACAAAAAACAAACAAACAAACAAACAAACAAAAAACCTAATACACAGAAAGCACAAATGCAAGAAGATACAAACTCAAGGTCAAAAGAGGGAACCAAACATGCTAAGGTAATTAAAATGAAAGTTCAATGGGAACTAAGCCAGTCTAAAAAAGTACTGTGAAAATGGTCTACTGCTAGACACTCAAGAACAGAGAAGGCAGGGAAAAAACGACATGCTAGGCAGAAGCAATAAAAATCATTTTGAGGCTGAGCATGGTGGCACATGCCTGTAGTTCTAGCATTCAGGAAGCTGAGGCAGGAACATCATAGTGAGTTCAAGGCCAACCTGGGCTACATAGTGAATTCAAGGCCAGCTTGAACAGTAAGACTGTCTCAAAAAAAAATTTTTGGACCACTGGCTCCTGTATAAAAGAGTCAAGGTGGTAGACAGTTTGAAGCTAATGGTATATGTTATAAATTCTCAATGTAAGGCTCAAAGAGATTTACACTGTTAAGAGTTTGTAGCTGGGATACAATAAACATTGTTTTGGCATTATTCCTAACACCAGTATGCGATATGGAATTGAAAGAGAAGAAGAAATAATGACACTGAAAAATAATATAGGTGTTAGGGGTACAGCTGAGAGGTACCTAGGTTCAACAACAACAACGGAAGAGTTGTATTATAGCTGAAGATTTCAAGTGAGGGATTTTTGTTTCTCTGAAAACTCTTCTTACCAAAAATGGAAATATCTGTCTGGGATGGTAATACAAGCTCTTGGAAGGCTGAGAAAGAAGGATCACCATGAATTCAAGGCCAGCCTGGGTTACACAGTGAATTCAAGGCCAAACTGCATTACACAGTAAGACCCTGTCTCAAAACAGAAAACAAAACACACACACACACACACACACACACACACACACACACAAATCTTGGGAAAATGATGAAAATAGTTAAAACATATAGTAGTGGTTCAATCACTATAAGGACACGAGCAAACAACTGCAATTATTTAATTATTAAATGTAGATCCACCACTTCAGACTATCAGTTTAAAAGGCACTGCTATTTTATTTGCCTTGTATGTATTCCAAGCATCCAATGCTTTATACCCAGAAAATAATCAGTAATATTTGTGGAACAACTTAGCTATTAGAGGTTTCTAGAGAATACGGAATACCTGCTTTGGCAGATGAATTTATAACGAATGTAAAAACACTTCCTACAGTCAATGTATAGTGTAACACTGTAAGGAAGCATCCACTTGTTTTTCAATCAAATAAATCAAGCAGTTACACAACTTCAAAAGTTTTAACTGGCTGAAGTAGCATAAGCCTAAGTCCCAGCCATTTGGGAGCCTGGGGAAAAGGATCACTTAAAGACAACAAATTTCAAACTAGCCTGGACAAGAAGATCTACACACACACAGGCGAGCATGCCTGTAATTCCAGCATTTGAAAGGCTGAGGAAGGATTACTACAAGTTCAAGGCCAGCCTGAATTACAGAGTGAGGCTCTGTCTCAGAAAACAAGTCTTACCCTGTACCAGTGGTGGCAAATTTACTCCACAAATGCCACAAGGGGCTGTTAGCACTGGAAGCTCAAAAAGGTCCACCAACATTGTTCTATACTTTTTACCTTTTCTATCTT